TCACTCGCAGACTGAGAGTACAAGGTCTGAGAACGATTTTTGTTCGTCAGGGCTAGGCCCGAGAGACCGAATCACAAGATAAACTGTCATCAGGCGTTAGTCTTGGATATTGGAATGCTTTTTCATTTCTAAGAAAGTCCTGAGGTTGCGGTTTAATCTGCCGCCAGTATCGCAGCTAGGAAGGCTTGGGTGTTTTGAAGGCATACGTCTCGCCTATTACTGTGCAACTGGAAATTTTATCATGCAGTTTGAGAACGGCGTAATAGTGACCGGACTCGAGTCAAGAGGTGGGCAGATGTCCAACAGAAAAGCGGCAAGAAATCATCAGACCTGCCGCGGCCCGCGTGCAGTCAGGTTCGTACTCCGATTGAACTTGAAACTCAGCGACTTGATTTCGCGACCGTCATTGTAAGGGGACTGAGACCGCCTCGACGGTGACTGCAGTAATAAATCAGCAGGAATATATATACAAACAAGCAACGAAGATTTGGTACTCCATGAAGTTTGGTTGTTGATTCAGCGAGGTAGTCGCTCCTTAGCCCTAACCCTAAATGAGGTCACACTTTGATTCGAATCGAGATCCGCAGATTCGGAATAAATACCGGCGCGGACGACCCTAATGACACTTGCTCTCGACGTCCACGCCCTTCCTCCACCTCTAGCACCGCTTTGTCGGCTCTTTGGATGTTATTTATAACGTACGTATATCACTGAGACAAAGTACTAACGACACACAACTTCTTTCGCATTTGCTAGGGGTACGCTGAAGCCTGTCTTCTCACGTTATGTCGTATGAAGTGCCCACGGAACTCTACAGAGAGATCATACAGTATGTCTCCTCCAAACGCGACCTATGCAACGTCAGCATTGCCTCGCACGCCCTTCAAAGTGAAGCAGAGTACTTCATCTATAGGTCTATCGACTCGTCCCGCCGATCCCTCACCGAATACCTCTGTGACCTCATAACTTCTTCACCCCGCCTGCACATGCTTGTGCGCACACTGAACATCTCCAACGATGGCGAGCAAGCAAACGCCGCCCAGTCCAAAGAATACTGGGAGCGCGTCTCCCGCTTGCTACGCGATCTCCCTAACCTAGAGGAACTCAAGATTCACGACAATATGGTCCACGGCAATACCAACGCATGGGTGCTTTCACAATGCACCTTCTCACTCCGGAAATTTGACTGCGACTTTGCCTTTGATAACACCCTTCTCAACTTTTTGCAGTCGCAGCGTAAACTCCGACGGCTCTACTGGACCGAGAGCTACTCGGACGACGACTCCGCGAAAGCGCTCGAGGAGATCGACGTGCTCGAGCCGAGTGTCACGCCACCCATATACGAGCTGATGACGAACAGCCCCCGCTTCGCGCTCAAGTTCATGCCCGCATCCACGCTCACCCACGTGTGGATATGCGGGCCCTGTGGGTACGAGAGCGACAGCTGGATACGGTACATGGACGAGTTTGTCGTCTCTGCGCATAGCCTTCGCTCGCTGCGTATGAACTTTCCCCACGGGCGGCGCACACTAGTCACTGTACTGACGATGCTGGCGGATCATGCGCCGGAGCTTCGTTCACTCGGGTTCGTACCACATTTCGAGAAGCAAGTAAGTCTTAAATATCCATGTGATGTATAGCTCACTGATCCACGTATCTCCATTCGCGTTCCAGCAGGCAGATGTCATCGCAGCACTGGCACGTTTCAAACGTTTGCAGTCGCTCATAATGTGGAACGTCATCAGTGCGGACACATCCCGTGAAGTCGCGAAGGTGTGTCCGTCGCTACGGACGGTTGCCTGCTTGCATTACTCGTACTCTCACGAGTATGTGATATTACCGGTCAACCCTCTCGGTACTCCGAAAGCACACCATGACCCAGACTATCGATTGTGGAAGGACTGGTAGATGCTTGGTGGGAGGACAGTACCCACGAGATGGTATTACAACACGCCTATCCTCATTGTCCACTCTCATACATATCGGCCTGTACACTTTTCAACGATTTTTATTGGAACGGAACGTTGTATAACTAGTCGCACAACAACATATACTTCCAGCGGTTAATGAACTACTCTTTGATGATACACATCTTCTACTGAACCGTCAATTCAATCTATAGGTCTCTAAGTGGCACGTAGGCCTTCTTTTTCACAATCTTCTAACAGTCTAACACGCCAGAACCTGCGTCCCAGCGGATCTTCGTGAAGGTCCGAGATTTCACTTAGTTTCCTCACAAACTTCTCCGTATAGAAACTAGTGTTGCTGTCAAATTCCTTGCGCCACTGCGCGTACCTATTGTTCTCATCGCTCCGATGTCTATCCGTGAACTGGGTCGTGGCACGGACGTCTGCCCTGCCTACACGATACACCCAATTTTGGTCTTCCGAGTCTTGGTCGATCAGTCCAAGAATCGCATAAGCGACCGGGGCTGCTTCTGCCGCTCGGGTTACGGCAGGGTTCAAGCGTTCGACGTGCTCGACGCACTGCAAAGTGTCGTCGCATATGCGCCTCCACAATGTTATAGTCTGTTCGTCGCGTTGGGCGGGATAAGTGGCAACGACGAGATAAAGCCCTAGAATGGATTGAATATTCGACGGATTGTCCAGATTTCTCTGGCGGCAGCTGCTGAAGAATTGGGCGCAGACACTCAGGACGCTGATTTGTATCTCCACTATTGAATTAGACACATGTTAGCCACCTGAAGATTCCGCTCGGTGTTGTACAACTTACAAGACGGCCGATCAAGCTTCCAAGCTTCATTCAAGGGGCTTTGTAGTAAGTCTCGAACACGTTGAGTCGACGTTAGTTCTGGCCTAGCCCACATATGATCGAGGAACACGGGGAGTTGGTTTGGAACGCTAAAGTAAGCCGCGAAGAACTGATCGATCCCCACGCTTCCGTGAATTCGTGATTTCGACGACCTGCTGCGTGGAACCAGGTCCTCTATCAACGGATAGGAATCCAGGATGAAATTGGTAAGTTGTCGTGAATCGGAAGGATGCGTCTCTGTAATCAGGTTTTTGTCCGTGGCATCACCGGTCATGACGTAGTTGTATTGGATGGCAATGGCTACCTGGAAAAGGACGGCTAGAGTTTCACGTTGCACCGCGTATGAATTGTCTCGAATACCGTCTAATAGCCTCTTGTAGGTATTGCTTTGCAAATCCACGTCGGCATCGTCTATGTAAGACCAGTGGACAATATCCCTGAAGATAGCTAAGTCGCAAGATTTTAATGCATCGACGAGGCAAGCGAAGACGGTCGACTGCCACTGCCACGACGTACGGTTCCCCGCAACTTGGACCACGATACGATCGGAAATAAGTGCACATCCTCGGTAGTTGATCCCAGCCCCCGTGTCCGGTTGGACCATGCGTAGGAAAAGGGAAGTTGCGGAGCGGGGAATGGGCGTGTTGTGCGGCACAAGAGCAATGATCAATACGGCTGCGTCGTCCATCCACTCTCGACCAACAGGCTCCAGGTACCATTGATCTACACTTGTATTATTAAGCTCAGTCCGTAATGCGTCTGCCAGGATATCGACAAACGTAATGCGTGCAGACGCTGTCAGAAACGAAAGAACGGGGTTTGGATTATGATCGGTTCCCATCTTGTAGGTCTCCACCGATTGTATGGCTAGGCGGTTGCGGATAGTACTGACAACAAGCTGTAGCACCTTCTCGCCCGGTGGAGGTCTGACCGACAGGATATTTCTGACCGTTATAAGCGTAGCATCGTCCAGCGTTTGGGCATCCACGGAATGGAATATTACCAGATCATTTTGATCCGTGCGACATAGCTTATCCTCCTCGCAGATGATAGTATTCGAAGGGTGCTCGTACTTGCTGAAGATATCCGCAGCAATACCGTCCGTATGACCATGGTCGACTTGCAAGTCAGGAAGGGAATCTGCGTGTCTCTCAAGAATCTGTCAAGGGTAATCTCAGAAAGAGCAACAAGGAAGTCGGCGTGGTACCCACATGCATCCGCCACTGTCGGAAGGCGCTTTTCAAGAACGTGGTCTTGTAAGGGCAGCGAGGCGAGATCAATGGTGCCAGTAGTGCAAATCCAAAGAATGCCGCCCATGCACACACGAGAAGGAGTGTTGCCGTCCCGATACTAGAGTGAACTGATGCAGTGAAGAAACAAAGGCCGACGAAGAACAGTAAAAGAGAGACTTGCAGGATCAAAGGGAGCACGGAAGCGATCTCATACAGCTTCCACACTTCCAGACCGCGAGATCTGAAGTAGCGAATACGAAGGCGTTCCTGAGGGACCGTGCGATCGATGTAGAGGTATTCGCGTAGCCACTGCTGTAGAAGCATGCCGAATGACGCTGAAGAGAGACTCAGGACCAAGCTAGAGAACCAGCATACATTGACGCGTATATCGGTGAGGGCTGCGCTGAAAGGCGTCGGTGTCGGTTCAGGAGTGACTGCAGAGATGAGACGTCCAGCTACAATTGTATAGTTGTTCGTTTGCAACGAGATTTGGCGTAGCAATGTGATCATGGTTTGTTGAGGGTCTTCCTGAAGGTTCTTATAGGACTCAATCAAGAAGGCGGTAAGCACCGCCGAATACAGCCCGGCCTGGAAAGCCGCATTAGAGAAGGACCGCACAAGCTAGGTAAAGCACGTACAAAGACGAGGAGTGTGTCCACATCACCCTTGCAGTTTTCTACCCTGCTTCGACTAATGTCGCTGGTGGACTTATCCAGTGTAGACCACGCTGCGCCATCCCCAACGGCGAGAGATTCTTCGTCGCTTTGCATATCTGCTGTAGTATGTACCCCACGCTAGTAAGTCCAAAACTTGTTGATAATTCGTGGAGAGTCAAGCTGTACTGCCTCGACGGCTAGGTGTAAGTGTCAAGGCTAATTCACTGCATGTTGAGATGCAGTGAGTGCGACGGGACGTGTGCTGGATCGAGTTGATCGGCAATTGCCGTAGTTTGATTGCTGTCTACTCATATTGTATACAATTTTGGATTAACTTCAACCTTCGATAGCTCAGTTGGAAGAGCGTGGGACTGTAATTGGTTAACAATTCGGCTCAAATCGCTATCCCAAGGTCACTGGTTCGATCCCGGTTCGAAGGATTTTTTTGCCTATTCGTGCACTTTCGTCCGGAACTCCAGACTCCAGAGTAAGGCTCCAACCATTTACTTTATGTTTACTCGAAATGTGTAAATAAACTGTAAAGGGTTGTATATAGTTTATAAACAGTTTATAAAGAGTAAATAAACAGTATCCGAGCATAAAGCCAGATATCCCTGTCCGCCCCTCGACACTGCATACTAACTTGCATCGTGGTCACTGTACAGAAGTTGCGAGGCGTAACGCGTTGAGCGTATCCCAACTTGGCGGGGCTTACAGCACTTGCCACTCGCGACGTGACGATGGATGATCCGACCAACCATCACACTGAGGGATCTCGAACGCACACGAAAGCAGCTTGCGCAGCGTCGTCCCATCCACAGAGGGTATCGAGTCCTCCTGGGGAACTTGAGATGCTTCGGAATCTGCTGCTGCAGGTGAGGTCACGTAGTACTTACGACTCGACTTGCACAACTGCTCCACCTCGCGCTATTTCATAAAATAATTATCTGGTACACATACCTTCACGGATGTGACAACAGACTACATGGTGACGACAGGAGACCGGTGTTGACAAAGGTCGCGACGGGAGACGAAAGCACGAACGTACAAACCACGTAGTGCCGGACCGAGGCAGCTCGCAGCGTTAGCGCCGATGAAAGCCTCAGCGGCGCATCAGCTAGGACGTTCGTAGGGGACTTCGAGGATAACTACAACGCCCCTGCCTACATTATGACCTTTTATGGTCCCGGCAATGTCCTCAGACTTTCTCTTGGAACAACCATTTATTTACTGTTTAATAAACTGTTTACACACTTTTACACAGGAAAAGTAAATAAACATAAACTGTAAATGGTTTTTACTGTTTATAAACAGTAAATAAATTAAATGGTTGGAGCCTTACTCCAGAGTCCATTGAACATTCGGAAAGCGACTCGAAGGTTCGATCCCGGTTCGATGCGCGTTTTTTGGGCAAGGGGGGTGCAAGATCTGCCAATGGCCATAAACATAGATCAGCAGAACCAAGTTTGGATGCCGGTAGGAAACATGAAAAGTCACTGTTCGAGCGTTGCATCCTGAAAGGAGGCACATGTAGGACACGAGCTTCGCGACTTGCCACGCCCTTAACAATAAATATTACTTTTGCCTACCCGCCGCCTCAGGCCCCAGGTCTCATCAGTTCCATTCTGACAGTCTCCGTCGAATTTAGTTTGTTGAACTACGGTTCATGGCGCGCCACAATATTCTCGCAGGTGAGTACCCCGGGAACTCAGTGCCCGCCAGTTCATCCATTCAGCGAGCCGTCAGAGGAGCGGACTCTTCAACCGCAGACTCGTCACTCTAAAGGCGGTGTACCGAAGAATGTACGTTGTGACCCGCTTTTATGTCGTATGCCGTCCTGTCTGATTCTTACCACTTCAGACTACGCCTCCTGGAGCTCCTGCTGGAAGACAATCGAAACCAGCGACTACACAAGGCAATAAGAAGGCCGGAGGCGGCAATAAGGGTTCCACCAAGAGCTCGAAAGGCGTTCGCTATGTATGACACCCTGCCAATATTATTAGATACACTCATGAGAACAAAGTGCAAGGGGTGTGAAGTTTCTCAACTAGTACACCGAATCCGAATGGGACTGAGCGTAGTATACACTCAAGCGTAGCACTGCGCGGTTAGCACACAGACTGGCGAGTGTGATAGTGTGACCAAGCGGTAATCAGACGGAACTGCATCGTCCCTACAAAGCTCCCCATCGGCTTTAAGTACTGTTGCCAACGGCACGCTGACCCTCTACGGTCAGCTTGTTGGACATACCTTACACTGGTATCATGGGTCGCACTCAGGGTAAGCATTGGTCATCCTTGACCTCGAGCACCTTCGGAGTGACTGAAGCCAAAGTTGTCTCTCGATACGAATACCAGCCCCAGCCGCGGGAGCACCCAAAGCACCCCGTCATTCAAAAGGACTTCTACTATCTTCGCAACAGGTATGCCAACCTATAATTTCCCCTATGATCACTGGCAACTTGACATGTCACTAGCCAAGGACCGGTTCGGCAGCACCGGAGAGCCCCCATCCACAGGCAATGGATTCTTCAAACCAGAAGGCACAGGGAGATAACCAACGGGGCCATACGTTGCGGAAGCTCTTGTTCAAAGCTAAGCCGAAATAAGCACAGGATTAAAGGCTCTTGGTCTTTTCGGGGTGGTGTAGGAGACGGACGATCAGAGCCTCATGAGCAACCTGAGAAAATGTCACGCCAGTTGCGACGGATAAATAGTGAAGTGACCATTCAGATGCGCCGCTAGTCAATATCCAGGTTGACTATATCATACAGCACTCAGCGAGAACACACGTCGACACTCCTAGCGAAGTTTGTCTTGCAAGCTAGGATCCATCGCAGCAGAAGTCACTACTCACGGTCCATCTCTAATTTGCACGTCAGGACGAGATACTTTTGAGCGCATCCTGTCGGTTGCTACAACATCTCGGCGAGAGTCGAACGAGGGCATCAAACAAGTGGTGAACCTTGTAACCCATACCGTCTCTGCTTTCCTTGAATATCCGTCATGAGGTACACAGAACGCGCCGACGTCCATGACGGTTCTACTTGCTTGCACAATGCATATATTGTGAGCCGCAGATCGTACTTCCTACTCTAAAGCGTATCGCACCGTACGTTTTCCATAGATGAAACAGCCTACGACCGTCTGGCCTTTTTGCTTGTAGGAACAACAGGATCACGAGCTTTACGCTTCCCGTTCGATTTCTGCCGCTTGTTCGCTTCGTCCTCGCCGCGCTTGCCGTCCCTTTCTCTGAAATAGTCCCACACGAGGGTGTCCTCGTAAGGCTCCTCGAACTTCTCGAACTGGTTTGGCGGGTAAAACCAGTAATTGAACGCCATGTGGACAGCGTCTGCGCTTTCTCCAGCGGACGACGACGTTACTTCGTGCCACCATGAAGCGGGAAGGTACAGCATTTCTCCGGCGTTGAGCTCCACGACGTACGGCGTCGATGCCTTTTTCAGATCAGGAAAGTCGTCGAGTGATAGGTCTAGAGGTGGTACGGCGGTTGTAGGAAGCTGTAGATGCTGATGCACGAACGCAGTTGGTATACGAGAGAATGAAGATGGTTCCGCTCCTTCATCGTCCTGGTCCTGATCTTCCTCGCCGCTTGCAAGTGTTTCTCCTCCCTCCTCTTCTTCCTCGCTATCGTCCTCTTCCTCTTCTCCCGGAGCAGCTAAACCTGTGGGAAGGCCTTCCTCGTCCCCTTCGTCCATCCCTGCCATGAGCGCATCAAAGTCGTCTTCCATATCTTCCAGCACGACACCATCCACACCCTCGAGTGCATGTTGTGCGAGCTCATCCAGTGCCGCCTCGTGTGCATCAAGTAGCGCCTGGCGCTCCTTCGTATTTTCGCGTTTTTTGCCTTTACCATTCGGCATGGTCTCAAGCTTCGCCTCTAGTGCGCGCACACGCGCTTTAAGTGCTGTCGAATAGGGCAGCCCATCTGACCGCACAGGTGCGTCGGTATAGGAGATGAGGCCGTTGGGGTGAAAGGTATGGAGTGTGCCATAGGGATAAAGATGCTCGTGTTCTTTCGGAGGGAAGAGTACAAAGCGCTTTTTGCCTTTGAGGAGGCAATAGAGGTTGTCATGAAAGTCGTGATGCTGTTACGATATGATAGGATCGTGAGAAAGGGAGGTGTGAGTGCAGAAGAGGTACACTCACCAAACCAGACGTCGCACCGTCTTTGGATTTGCCTAGCCAGAGGTTCACCTGCTGGAGGAAGAGATTACCCATGAGTCGCGGCACGCGGGGAAAGTCCTCTTCCAACGTATTAGCGGGCGGAGGGAGCATCGTCAAGCTATCTTCTTCGGCGCCCTGCGCCGCATATTGTGTTGTAAGATACGGATGCGCTTTCTCCTCGTTTCCCGCGCTTCTCAGACTCTTAAGAAAGTCTTTAAACGTCATGGGCACACGTTCCACAGCCGTGCCAAATTGATGTGCCACGGGATGCATCGGCTCTACGAGAACTTCAGAATCGCCAGATTTTTGTTCGAGATACGCTAGGTCTGTCTTTCATAACCAAACGCCTGTCACAGATTGGTATGAGATCTGCTACATACAAGAGTAACTTACCCATTGCCGCGCTTTGAAAGCTTCATCGTCCGGTAAACCTTTGATAACGACTGGCGTGCGTTTCGAGACGTAGGTCTTGAAAAAGTGTTCGGCCGTGACACTTGGTAAAATGGTATCTAGAGTCAGGTGTGACATCGCAAGTTTGCACAGAATAGTGTTGAGAGGATGATTGTTGACTCAGCACTGCTATACTAAGGGCTTTTTAGGACGTTAAGCAGCCTAGGAGTGAAAGGATGGGTGTTCGTCGACCCGTGGTGAAGATCGCATGCACTATAGCTCGACTTAGAATTACGTAATATATACGGTACGTCCATATTAGGCTTGTCAAGGGGTTATCGTCCCTTCTTGGGAAATTTTCGACGAAACTGCTGAACGCCTATCCTGCAGTCGACCACAACTTGCCGAGGCACATACGCGGTGTTCTACATTGTCCAACCACGCGATAAGTTGAGTGGCACTACGGTCCAAGCAGCCACCATGAAAAGGTCGCAAGACTCTTCGCCAGCGTCTCCCACGCACTCAGCACCCGTTCAGAAGAAGCAGAGGCTGTCGCCACCTGCGTCGGATGAGCCAGAGATGCCTGCACTTGCGAGCGCAAGCCAAACAATGGCAGACAGTGAAGACGGATGGACGAAGGTCGAGAAGCGCAAAGCAAAGAAGCAGAGGAGGGCGGACGAGAAACTAGACGTGTGTGTTTCTGTTCAAGTATAGTTTGTGTTCGAAGATTGCAGGAGGCTCATATGATTCCATATAGACCGCTACACCGCGTTTCTTATACAACAAGGGCGAGATTATCAGGCGTCGTGAAGCCGTGGGTATAAGTGTGAGGACATACAAATTTCTGCTATCTTCTAGTACTAAGT